CCCACAAGGATACAAAGTCATTGTGTGCACACACCCACGGGTATGATCATGAGATAAGCATGTCCCTGTGCCCAGATAGCCAATGCTGGGTCCATGGTCCCTGAACATTCATGGCCACTGAACATACATATACACACATGGAGCCTACGGACACACTCCTATGGGGCCAGGATTTCAGTGAGGCAAGTGCAGAGCTAGATCCCATCATTAGTTGAAATTTTGATATTTTGCTCATCATAGATTTGTTTACATTAATTTTGATTTTTAAAAATATTGCATTAAAATATTTATCTTGGTTACTGAGTCCTTTGGCATCCTCTGAATTTTGTTTTTTTTTTTTTAGACAGGGTCTTTCTCTGTTGCCCAGGTTAGAATGCAGTGGCGTCATCATTGTTCACTGCAACCTCAAACTCCTGGGCTCTAGCGATCCTCCTGCTTCGACTTCCCAAAGTGCGAGGATTACAGGCCTGAGCCACCACGACTGGCCTAATTTTTTTTTCTTTTTTTTTTTTTGAGATAGAGTCTCGCTTTGTTGCCCAGGCTAGAGTGAGTGCCGTGGCGTCAGCCTAGCTCACAGCAACCTCAATCCCCGGGGCTCAAGCGATCCTCCTGCCTCAGCCTCCCGAGTAGCTGGGACTCCAGGCATGCGCCATCATGCCTGGCTAACTTTTTCTATATATATTAGTTGGCCAATTAATTTCTTTCTATTTATAGTAGAGACGGGGTCTCACTCTTGCTCAGGCTGGTTTCAAACTCCTGTCCTTGAGCAATCTGCCCGCCTCGGGCTTCCAGAGTGCTAGGATTACAGATGTGAGCCACCACGCCCGGCCCTTGAATGTTCTTAAAATGTTGCATTAAAATAAATATTATTTATCTTGGTTACCGAGTGTTTTGGCATTCCCTTAAATTTTGCACCCAAAAGTGAATGCCTCACTTGCCATACACTGGCCTGGGCCCCTTCATACACGCACAGACACATACACACGCACACACACACACACACACACACACGAGTGCAAACCCGCGTACCTTCACATGGACACACAGTCCCTGCACAAACCTCATTCCACCACTAGATGTCGCGCAAGCTCCTTGATCGTAGGCCCAGCACCAACCGGGCTCTTCCCCGCACTAACGCTGAGACTTCCTTTCATTTCCCTCCATCGGGGCATTTGCATATTCTAAAGGAGCCCGGGGACATCAGCATCTTAAGGACATCAGCGGTGTCCTTATAGGGGTGCAGAATTTAAAGCATAAAGAAGATGGGTTTTCTTGATGTCTCCAGTCCAGGGGCGAGAAGAATCCTACGATTTGAGAAAGAAGCTGTGTGTGTGAGGGAGTCCATCCATCCATGCGTGAATGCGTTCATTCCAAAGATATTTGTTGGACACCTACTGCGTGCCAGGCTCTGTCCTAGGCCCTGGAGAGACCACAGAGCTCGCTGGACTCCGAAAAGCTGCCGCTCTAGTGGGAAGACAGATGATGCATGGATAGACAAATCATAGAAATGTAGCGACAAGCGCTATGATGAAAACAAAGAGTAAGCGCTCAGGGAGTGGCAGTGAAGGGGACTATTTTAGGTGGCTGTTCAGAGCAGGCCTCTTAGAGGAGGTGACTTTTTTTTTGAGACAGAGTCTCACTGTGTTGCCCAGGCTAGAGTGAGTGCTGTGGTGTCAGCCTAGCTCACAGCAACCTCAGACTCCTGGGCTCAAGCGATCCTCCTGCCTCAGCCTCCCAAGTGGCTTGGGACTACAGGCACGAGTCACCATGCCCGGTTAATTTTTTTTCTGTTTTTAGTTGTTTGGCTAATTTCTTTCTATTTATAGTAGAGACGGGGTCTTGCTCTTGCTCAGGCTGATCTCGAACTCCTGAGCTCAAGCAATCCTCCCGCCTCGGCCGCCCAGTGTGCTGGATCACAGGCGTGAGCCACCGCGCCCGGCCAGAGGAGGTGACATTTAAGCAGAAAAAAGAGAGGGAGTCAAGTAGCTCCCTGGGGAACAGTGTCTCATAGGCAGAGGGAATGGCAAGTGCAAAGGCCCTGAGGCACGTGATCTAAACTGAACTATCTCCCTCCCATCCTGAGGAAAGAGTTGACCCAGATAGTGTCAAAGATGTGGCTAGATCTTAGGGAGGACTTCCCAGTGGTCAGGAAGAGGGCATCTTTCCCACAGGGAAGATGGTGGGGCTTGGAGCTCTCTGGTAGCTTCATGTCACTCTTGGGCCAGAACCCAGAACCTCTTGGGCAGACCCTGGGTGTATGGACAGTGCCTCTGATAGGACCCACTTCCCTGCTCTCCAGGTCAAATCCAAACTCCTGCCCTCGACCCATGGGATCCTAAGTGGTCTAACCTCTCCTGGCTTCCCTGGTGTCATCTGCCCTCATTGTCCCCCTAACTCACTCTGCTCCGGCCACACCAGCCTCCTCCTCGCTGCTTCTGGAGCACATCAAGCTCGTTCCCACCCCAGGGCCTTTGCACGTGCCGTTCCTCCTGCCTTGAATGCTCTTTCCCCAGACACCCACACGATCCCCTCTCTCACCTCCTTCAGGTGGGATCTCAAATGCCACCTCCTTAGAGACACCTTTCCTGCCCACAACCGCCACCCTGCCTGCATCTCTCTTTAATCCCCTTTATTATGCTCCATGCCCCTTGCACTGTATTATGTATTTATTTAGTTGTTGACATTGGATTATACATTTATTTCGTTCTTGTCCGTCTGCTGCCAGAAGGTCAGGGATTTGGCGCCGTGGTTGGTGGCTGTATCCCCAGTGCTTAGGCGAATCTGTGGATTGAATGGATGGATGAATGAATGATTTCTAGGAAGGACCCCTTGGTGGAGCCCAGGACCCTTCAGCGACCAGGGAGGGGACTCTGGGAAGGCGGAGCGCGGGCAGAGCATCCTTTCCTTCCATCTTTACCTTCTCCGGGGCCAGGCTGGGGGCTGAGACTGTTTCAGGAGCCTGTAGTGCCCGCGGCGGCCGCGAGGAGGCACTGCAGCCTGTGGCAGGACTCCGCCGGCCCCGCCCTAACTGATTGCCTCACTTAGCCCCGCCCCCATCTGCCGTTTAGCCCCGCCCCCCAAAGCCTTTCCCTCCCAGCCCTGGGGGCTTTAGGATTCGCCCCTCCCACAGCAGACTGTGACACCCCAGCCAATCTTGGTGAGAAGCCAGGAAATCTAGGGCCCCCTAAGGGCCACCAGGGGTGGGGGGCAAAGTCCAGGTGGTGGTTCCAAGGATCCTTTCTGCAAACCAAATTCCCCTTCATTCCTGGTTCATTTTTTCCAGCAGTTTCTCAAGTGTGTGTCTCTTTGGGGGCGTCCCTCCGCCCTCTCGGGTACCTCTCTTTGCCCGTTTCGGCTTGCATGCCAATGGAGCACCGAGTGGGTGCCCAGCGCTGCGCACACTCCCCATCCTGCCCAGCGCAGGGGTGCTCAGATGGGGAAACTGAGGGGTGAGGGAGGGGTCCCCCACAACCTCTCCTTGTGGCCTGGACGTCCTTCTGTCTGGACTCTAACCTCCATCCCTTCCAACACCCCCCTCTGGGTGAGTACAAGGGTTTGATTCCTTTCTGATCTCGATCAGGAAAGGGAAGGTGCCCAGACCGTTTCTCTCCTGAGTTTCTACCTAAAAACCCCGCTTAGCAATGTCTACACAGGCATTGTCCACACCCATGGAGTGGATTATTTAACAAGAGGCTAAGCGTGCGGGCTCAGGAGCCAGACTGCGCCTGCATTCAATCCTCTCTGACACTCCCAAGCTGTCCGAGCTTGAGCAAGTGACTTAACTTTTCAATGCCTCAGTTTCCCCATCTATAAAATGGGGGTAACGATAGCATGCACTCGTAGGGAGTTGGGAGAATTAAATGCCTAAGCCCGTGATGTGTGCTTCCAACAGCGCCCGCACATAATAAGCATTTAATGAATGTTCGCTGTCACTGTAATGATTGTTTTATTATTTTTGACACCGGCTTCCCTCTGAGCTCCTGCAGATCTGAGAACTTGGGGGTGCTCCCAACCCCCACCCCAAGATGGAGGAGGAAAGAGGTTTCCCAGGAGCCGAAGAAAGCTTGGATGCCCCACATTTTGCAAAGCTCCCCGAGCCTGCCCAGGGGCAGGGGGAGGCTGGGGCGAGAGACGCGCTTCCGTAAGGGCATGAATGGGGCGTGCTAGGAGCCAACACGCACGTGCACGGGTGCACACGTCTGCACACGCAGCCTCTGCACACGCACCCCCATTTAGAGCGATGTGCTCAAAGGCACAGAATGGCACACGGCCACCTCAAAGCTCTCGCACGGCTACACACCTGGTCACACACGTATTGTACGACACCCGGGCATGGGGACAGTGTCACACATAGATTCCTCCCGCACGTACAAACACCCTCTCCCCATCACACCCCAACTCAGGCACAGTTGAATAAACACCCACACAGCCACACACACAAACTCGCCTCGGTCACACCCAGCCACGACACAAAGACACACGTTTGCCCTGCCACCCCCCAAGCACCTCGCACGCGTCCCCGCCAGTCGCTCTCACGTGAGTCCCACCCCCCCTTACCCACACTGGGGGTGCAGGCGAGGAGTGGGGGGCTTCAGACGCTGGGCACCTCGGCCGTCACGGGGAAGAGAAGGGCAAGCGACACCCCAAAGCCCCGTGAAGTTTCCCACCCAACCCCACGCCGCTCCAGTGAGATGGCGGGGTGTGGGCTCCGGGTCACTCAGGGGTTAAGAACCCCGAAGCCAGAGTCAGGATGCCCCCCCCAAACCATCCCAGTTTGAGGTCGGATTGGAAGCCTCCCCTCTCCCTTGTTCGTCCCCCAGCCAGGGTGGATGTCCCAGCCCCTCCCCCGCTGCGACCCCCCCACCCCTCGCCCCTCGCCGCCCTGCCGCTCGGGGTGGGGGGACATCTGGAGCTGCCAACCCCGCTTCTCCGGGACCCCTCTGAGCCCCCCTCCTCTCCGGGAGCCCCCCCGCGCCCGCACCTGCCCGCCGGGCCCCTACCTGTCCCGCGAGGCCTGAACACAGCAGTAGCAGCAGCAGCGGCGGCGGCGGCGGGACCGTGAGCGGCCACATGACGCGCCCCCAGCCCGGCGTCCCGTCCCCCCGCCCGCCCTAGCGGCGCCCGGGCGCGGGGACCGCCACCATGCGCGACCCCGCCCGGCCGGCCGGGGCGACCCTCCGCCGTCGCCGCCTCCCCCGCCTCGCCGGCGGCCGGGATTCCGCCCCGCCCCGCCCCCCTCGCGCGCTCCCAGCCTTTGTTGCCGGCTCCGCCCCCCGCCCCGCCCCCAGCTCCTCTTCGGGCGCAGACCGAGCGGGGTCGCGGGGACAGGCGGGGGGCGGGGAGCTGGCATCGGCGAGGGCAGCTGGGGAGCGAGGGGACAAGACCCGGCAGCGCCACCCCAGGCCAGGCCATTCCGGGAGCGGGTCGCGGAGATGGGGGAGGGGGCGCCCGTCACGTGTTTGTCAATTTCACGCTCCCCCCCCCCCCCGATATTTCCCACTTCGAGGTGGGAGGGGACTCAGTGCGGCGGGAGGAGGAAGGTCTGTAGCAAAGAAAAGAAATCCGGAGCCCCCCTACCCCTAAAGAACTCAAGAATCCACAGAGAAACTGAGGCACAGTCTGAAATTGGAGGTTGGGAGAGGTGTCAACGCCGGGACGAGGAGAATGGGGCAGAGACGGGGACCGGGAGTGAGAGGGGGGGAAAATGGGGGTGGGGGTGGGGAGGCAGGAGACGGACAGACGGACAGTAGGGGACGCAGACGGCCAACTGGGTGAGCCTGGCTTCCAAATAGGGCGTCCCGTTCTCCCTCTCTGCGCGCCCGTTCCCCACCTGCCTCCCGCTGGCGGCCTCCCGCCTCCGCCACACCTGGGACAGTGTCTCCTCGCTCCCGTCTCAATAGCCCGAAATGAGAGACCAGATTCCCCAAAGAGAATCAAAATATTAACACCGCCTCCACGCGAGGCCATTTGCATATGAAGGGCGTCCTCGCCCGTCAGCTTTCTTTGGGGAGGCTCCCCAGCCTCTCTCTGCCTCTCCTCCTTCCAAAAGTGTCCCCGAGTCACCTTCCCTCCGCACAGCTCCTACAATGGCTTTCTGAGGGGGCGGAGGGAGTAAGTCAGTTTATGAAGGAATCAGACGGAAAATATGGGAGACTAGGGAGCCTGGCGTTTTTCTGACCCTACTGCGGGATAAGCACATGTTATTGATGGTTTGGGCAGGTCAAGGAGGAAGAGATCCATGTCTGACAGACCTGGGTTCAAGCCTGGCTCTGTCACTTCTTGGCCATATGATCTTAGGCAAAGAGTGTTCCTCTTTTAGAAGGCCTGTTTCTGCTAGGCACGGTGGCTCACGCCTGGAATCCCAGCGCTTTGGGAGGCTGAGGTGGGAGGGTCATTTGAGGCCAGGAGTTTGAGACCAGCCTGGGCAACATAGCAAGACCCCGTCTCTGCAAAAAAAAAATTAGCTGAACGTGGTGGCACACACCTGTAGTCTGAGCTACTTGGGAGGAGGCTGAAGCAGTAGGATCACTTGAGCCCAGGAGTTGGAGGTTACAGTGAGCTATGATGTGCCACTGCACTCTAGCCTGGGTGACCAAATGAGACACCCCCTCTTTAAAAAAAAAAGAAAAAGGAAGAACATGAAGATGACTCGACTCTGCATAGAGTTGTTGGGAAGCATCTGTGACTCGTGAACAAATAGAGCACCTGGCCAGCACTCGACCCCCAGAATGCACTACCACAGTGACACATAGGGTTGAGCACACTGGCCATGGGATGTGGCCACAAAACAGAACCTGAGCGTGGGAAGACATCCCATCCATTCCGCCACCTCCTTTCCCAAATGGGAGATGGTCTTTGCTGACTCCTTGGGCCAAGCCTGCTGTAGGCATGGGGCAGAAGGAGGATGTTGGTTGGTAGACCATGCAAGCTCTTGATCAAGAGTGGGGCCCTTCACTGGGGCTGCATTTCAGGACCATGAACAGTGTCCTCCTTGGGCTGTGGTCACCGAGATGGTCGTTGTCCTGGCCAAGCTATGGCCTGTGTCGTATGGCTGGGCTTTGGTCAATATGCTCTCAGATCCATTCCACCCACCTTTCCCCTGCTCCCCTCAGTATCAGGGGAGCATGGCCCCTGCAAACTACATTTCCCAGGCTCCTTTGCCACTGACAAACTACATTTCCCAAGCTTCCTTGCATCTGCTTAGGCTCAGCCAATGGGAGGTCTGGAGGGAGATTGGAGGGTGGGAGGAAAGGAGAAGCCAGGGTGTTTCTCATTTTCCACTTTGAGTGTCTCTAGGAGGCACGGTTGTGACTCCTCTGTGGTCACAGCCCTGCTAGGCAGTCCCCATCATGGCTTAGCTCCTGCCAAGGTTGCTGCAGCCTCTTCATTTCGGCCTTTGGGAAGATGGTGGCTGGCTACTGTGGAGTTGATTCACCGTTTCCAGTGGGCCCTTTCTTATTGTTGTTTGTTTCTTTAGAGACAGGGTCTTGCTCTGTGCCCAGGCTGGAGTGCAGTGGTGCGATCATAACTCACTGCAGCCTCAAACTCCCGGACTAAAGTGTTCCTCCTACCTCAGCCTTCCGAGTAGCTGGCATGCGCCACCACACCCAGCTAATTTTAGAATTTTTTTGTAGAGACAGGGTCTGGCTATGTTGCCCAGCCTGGGCTTGAGCTTCTGGGCTCAAGTGATCCTCCTCTGCCTCAGCCTCCCAAAGCACTGGGATTACAGGTGTGAGCCACCGCACCTGGCCCAGTTTGCTTTTAAAACCTACCTAATACCTCTGCGACTAATTCCCCATATTAAATTCCCTCTACTGAACTACCTGGTGCAGGCTCTGTTATTCTGACTGGCCCCTAGCCAATACATTCAGTGTCATGGCCATTGACTATTGTGGTCAGTGGGATCTCAGTGTCCCAATCATGCTGTGGCCAGTGTCCTGTTGAACTGAGCTCTGTGCTGCCATCAGCATCCTGGTTCTGCTGGGGACCAGCAGCACTGTGGTCAGTATCGTGGTCACCACTGGTCACCCTTGGCTGTGTATCGGTCAGTTTCCTGGATATCATGTGCTCAGGGTCACAATCACTGTCCTGGAGCTGTGGTCGATTGTCCTGAGCTTGCTTTGGACAGTGACCTGGCCATGCTATGGTCAAAATTATGATCAGGTTATATTGTGGCCAGGGTCACAATGTGCTCAGAGTCCTGGTTGCCCTGTTGTCAGCTCCAAGCCCAGCATTGCAGTCAGCGTTCTGATGAGCACAGAGTCCTACAGTGTAGTGGTCAGAATTGGGGACCATCACTGGGGAGAGGTCAGGATCAACTTCTCAAGGATCTCATGCAGCAAAACTGGTAAACCAGGTGTCTCAGAATCTGGCACTAGGCAAAGGCCACTCTCCGTAACATGTAGGAAGCAGAGTGGAGGGGCATTGAATCTCACCATCTGGTTATTGGGTTTTCCTAACTGGTGCTTGGGCAGACGTTGGCTCTGCTCTCCTGGGACCCATTCGTGTGTCCAGCCGGAGGAAGACGCAGGCCAGGGCTTTGTTTCCACACACCTAGCACAGAGAAAATGATCAAGAAGTTAATTTTTCTATTTTTAGTAGAGATGGGATCTCCCTCTTGCTCAGGCCAGTCTCGAACCCCTGAGTTCAAGCGACCCTCCCGCCTCGGCCTCCCAGAGTGCTAGGATTACAGGGGTGAGCCACTTGGGAGCTACTTGGGAGGCTGAGGCAGGAGGATGGCTTGAGCCCAGGAGTTGGAGGCTGCAGTGAGCTATGATCCCACCACTGCACTCCAGCCTGGGTGACACAGCGACACTCCCCTCTCTAAAACAAAAAAGGAGCACTGCTCCCCTCCCATGTCCCAGAAGAGGCACCTGAAGGGGACTTGGGGGTCCCCACAGACTGTTCCATGTTGTCACTGTTCAGCCTCACTCTTTCCTTCTCTTGGGCATTTCTCAGGGCAGAACTACTACCCACTGCCCCCCCAACAGGAGTCGCTTTCCTCCAAGCATGTCACACACAAACACACACACACACACACACACACACACACACACAAACGTGCAGACATGCTTAGTGACCCCATTGTCGCTATGGAAACTGGACCCTCAGTTTCCCAGATGTGGCCTCAAGCAACCTGACACACAAACACACGACACAGGCGCACAGCCAGCCAGGGACAGCTCACCCGGATACACGGTTCGGGCACAACAGCTCACAGAAATACACGCCACCTTCGGACGTTGGAAGAACAATCAGAGGCGAGTCACCCACAGTTGCCCAGGAATGGGCACTTTGGAATACGCACAGATCTACGACACAGGGCACCATTTATATAAAGAAATACACAAAACCCACAATTCAGACACACAGCTTACACACGGATGCCCACTATAGGCACGCTCACACACCAGCACACTCATACACTTGCAGTATAGTCACACAAAAGCACACGCAGGCTGGGCGTGGTGGCTCATTCTTGTAATCCCAGCACTTTGGGAGGCTGAGGTAGGAGGATCGCTTCAACCTAGGAGTTTGCATCCAGCCTGGGCAACATAGCAAGACCCCATCTATAAAAAAAAAAAAATTTTTTTTTTTTTTTTTGAGACAGAGTCTCGCTTTCTTGCCTAGGCTAGCGTGAGTGCCATGGTGTCAGCCTAGCTCACAGCAACCTCAAACTCCTGGGCTCAAGCGATCCTCCTGCCTCAGCCTCCCGAGTAGCTGGGACTACAAGCACAAGCCACCATGCCGGCTAATTTATATATATATATATATATATTATAATATATATATATATATATATATATTAGTTGGCCAATTAATTTCTTTCTATTTTTATGGTAGAGACGGGGTCTCACTCAGGCTGGTTTTGAACTCCTAACCTTGAGCAATCTGCCCGCCTCGGCCTCCCAGAGAGCTAGGATTACAGGCGTGAGCCACAGCGCCCGGCCAAAAAAAAAAAATTTTAATTAGCTTGAGGTCAGGAGTTCCAGACCAGCCTGAGCAAAAGTGAGACCCCTTCTCTACTAACAATAGAAAGAGTTAGCCGGGTGTTGTGGTTCACGCCTGTAGTCCCAGCTACTCCCAGGAGGCTGAGGCAGGAGGATGGCTTGAGCCCAGGAGTTGGAGGCTGCAGTGAGCTATGATTGGGCCACTGAGCTCCAGCTGGGGTGACAGGGAGAGACCCTGTGCTTAAATAAAAAAAAAAAAAGAGAGAGAGAGAGAAGAAAGAAAAAAAAGCACATGCCAGTACATGGGTCAC